CCTACAAGTCACTGACCAGTGAACCAGATCTGTCTTTTGGCTCCTACAAGTCACTGACCAATAAACTAGATCTGTCTTTTGGCTCCTACAAGTCACTGACCAGTAAACTAGATCTGTCTTTTGGCTCCTACAAGTCACTGACCAATAAACTTTTCGTTCAATACCAGGACTCCTCAATTGGGGTGGATGGGGGGATGAATGAGGAAAGACAAAAAAGATAACGTAATTGAGAACAGTAAGAAACGGGAGAGGTGGGGGAAGCAGTTAGGACAATTATTGAAAGCACTCTATTCTTAGGGACTTTTTGAAAGACGTGTTGTGAAAGTGTTGTCTGAAGAAATAAGTAAACTATTAAGGAATCATGGTAAAAATATAAGAACTTAGAGTTACAATAATGTTATGGCAGACACGTGAGCCCTTTTCACATAAAAAAAGTCGAATTTGTCTAACTAGAGTCATGGGTTCCTACCGGGGACATCACTGAAAAATAGGTTACATTTTCTTATTTAAATAAACAGTGAACTTGCAGAGATTAACTAAAAATTGTGTGTTCACAACCATTTGATGAGGAGAAGTTCAAACTCAAAAAAACAAAACTAAAGACCTCATATTCTTGCTGGTACTCATTCTTTCTGGTGATTGGATTCCTTAGAGATTTGTGTTTCAACTGCTGCACCAGTTCACTCACAGGAAACCAAGTTTTTCCACAGATGTGATGATCTTCTAACATCTCGTAAATAAACATGTACTGCTCCTGTATAGGAAGGGGTGATTAATAAATCATATACACCAACAATATATATGTCATATAAGTATAGAGAGATTTTTAAACAAGGGTCAAAATATTACATTATTATTCGTAGTCACACGACCGGTGGGTGGTAAAAGTAGCTCGGGGTAAAACCAAGAGTACAAAAAATTAACCTTTTTAAAGTCCATGAAATATCTGAAAGATAGCGAAGTATCGGAAACCTTAGGCCTAACATTTCTGATAAAAACCACGTAAACTTCAGATTTTTTTTTTTGAACATTCTTATTATTTTTTTGGTTCATATTTTAAACCAGAGGTATATAAAACATAATTTCAGATCTAACTTTTGTCCGTCATAAGTCATTACCAAGATGGACAAACAGAAATATAGGGGGGGGGGGTCTCTGTAGTTTACGTGATTTTTAATTACAAATTTGTAGTCTCATAAACGTGGTCTAACAGAGTTTATGTGATGCCATATGGCGACAGCAGACAATAAACTAAGTTTTGATATTAAAACTTAAATAATTTCTACTCTAACTGTACGTTTATATCCATTAATTTTCTATTTGTTTAAAGTAAAATCATCTTAATAACTAGCTTTATTATGTCTTCATTTATTATTGTTTGATTTAATAAGAAAGTCCCTAAAGTAAAACCTGATATATTCAGTCACTCCAGAGCTTAGCTGCTGTGGTGTGGGGGGTGCGAAAATAAGTTGGTCTTAAAGTTATAATTAAAAAAAATAAAAATGGATGACCCTGAAATGTGGGTGTTCGTTTCTATCAGCTTATGATAAAATTAGACAAATATTATAACAAACCCCAAAACAATAACAAAGAGCATTAATAATATCAACATGTATATACATTATTAATATTATTAATCAACTGTAACGGCCTCCCAGTGGGACAACGGTATATCTGAGGACTTACAAAGCTAGAAACTGGGTTTCGATACCTGATGAGCATTGTACTTAGCTTCAAATAAACAAAACATTAATTATAACGTTTTAAAGCCTGACCTGCGTCTCTACCATGCCTTTCCGGGCACAAGCTATCTGTTTTGTATATCCAAACACGTCATAAACGCCCTCTTCTTCACCTAGTTCTAGGTTGGAGTCAATAACGAGATAAGCCCCTGTTCTCCCGCATCCATCACTAAGGGATAAAAATACACAACACAGGTACAGTTGTTTGTCATACACTACCGTTAAAATGAGTTGAAACCAGATATTAGGACTAAACTACTACGAGAAAATAAATTTAAGGGACTGTTACAACACAGGTACATTTGAGGACAGTTGTTTGTGATACACTACCGTTAAAATGAGTTGAAACCAGATATATAGGATATTAGGACTAAACTACTACGAGAAAATAAAGTTAATGTACCTGTGTTGTAACAGTCCCTATATATCTGGTTTCAACTCATTTTAACGGTAGTGTATCACAAACAACTGTCCTCAACGAATATTAGGACTAAACTACTACGAGAAAATAAATTTAGGGACTGTTCAAAAATTTCCTGATGCATTTGAAATAATTTTAAGTTATTTTCCAACTACATGAGAAAGAAAAATTATGTTTTAGATATTCTATATTTTATACACTTGATTTTTGAATTTTCATCTATTTTTCGGTTACTGAATTTATTTGTTTTAATTTTTGTCTAAAACAGTATTTGAATATAAAATTAGGGAATAAAAAAAAACAGCTACCAAATATTGTATTCTCCTCCTCACCAAACAAAGCCACCAATAGAATATTAAAAACATAAATCAGCATATAGTCACAAGTAAAAAGCTCTCTAAATTATTGTTGTTTTGTTTTGTCCTCCAATATAATATTAAAATTTTTAAAGCAAAAATATATTGTTGTTGTAAAACATTAGTTTATGTCATTTGTCCAATTGAATGTAGCCAGCTATTAAAAAAACAACTTAAAATGTAATGTTCAATGTATGATAACGAATGTCAGCAACACAGTAAACAAAGTGTTTTATTAGACAATTATTTGACTTGATGACCCCTGGTGAGAGGCCTAGCATCGCCAGGTGGTTATGGCGCTCGACTCGCAATCTACACGTCGCGGGTTCGAATCCCCGTCCAACCAAACATGTTCACCCTTTCAACCGTGGGGGCGTTAAAATGTATGGTCAATCCTACTATTCGTTGAGTGGGTGGTGATGATTAGCTGCCTTCCCTCTAGTCTCAATTAGGGATGGCTTTTAAAGATAGCCCTCGTGCAAAATTCAAAACAAACTAAACCAAACCCCTCTGGTGACTCAGTGGTAAGCTTATAACACTAACAATCGGGTTCGAACCCTACAGTAGCACAGCACAGATAGCCATTGTTGCAGCTTTGTGCTTAACAACAAATAATCCATTTGATTCTGTACATTCACAAAAGGCCCAGCATGACCAGGTGGTTAGGGTGTTTGACTCGCAATCTGAGGGTACTTGATTCTGTACATTCACAAAAGGCCCAGCATGACTAGGTGGTTAGGGTGTTTGACTCGCAATCTGAGGGTACTTGATTCTGTACATTCACAAAAGGCCCAGCATGACCAGGTGGTTAGGGCACTTGACTCGCAATCTGAGGGTACTTGATTCTGTACATTCATAAAAGGCCCAGCATGACCAGGTGGTTAGGGTGCTTGACTCGCAATCTGAGGGTCGTGGGTTCGAATTCCCGTCCTTACAGCCGTAGGGGCGTTATAATGTGACGGTCAATCCCACTCTTCGTTGGTAAAAGAGTAGCCCATGGAATTAGCGGTGGGTGGTGATGACTAGCTGTTTTCCCTCTGCTAAATTAGGGACGGCTAGCGCAGATAGCTCTCGTGTAGCTTTGCGCGAAATTCAAAACAAACCAACCAAACATTCACAAAGGACAATTTTGTTTCTTACATTAAGTGTATTTTAAGATCAAAATACAATAGTACATTCTGTCATAAAAATGTCTAAAATGTTGTAAATTCAAGTAAATGAAAAAAATCTGGTTGGAGTGATGCTTGATAGAATAATTGTCAGACAGACAAACAGATTTTTTTATTGTTGTATATAACTTAAAAATTGATAATTTAAATTTTACTAATCAAAATACTTACAAACACAATATAGATATCTTTCTGACGTTAACCGTGGTGAAAAAAATCATCATTGACAAATGTTTCAAGGGCTACATAAATGTATTGTGTATATACATATATCGTTGTCACGGTTAATAGCCTATACGATTACTAAGTCTAATTATTAACAAGTAATTATTATTATTATTAATAGCTGCTAATTACAGTAAGTATATATATATATGGAGGATTTAATACATTATATTAAAACGATTTTAAATATGCAAATGTGTTAAGTCACGCGACAAACACAACTGATGTAAGGTCGCCGGTGGAACAGAATGTATCAGAACTACATTTTGATATTACTTGGCATTTCGTATGTAGTGTGATGCCACCGAAAACTTTCTGAAAATATCCTGGTAATTTATGGCATTGGAAATATATACAAGTGTATATGTATGCGGCGTCTTGTAACAGATGCAAATACATGAACAAAAATGTCAGTGGTAAGTATCGTCCAAGTGCCCCAGGCAACATTATGCAACATAATCAAGAAGGATCTCGTATGGAAAAGCGACGAGTACACAAGTTTCTCTCAGATCATATCCATTCAATTATCGCATACCTGAAGCAACTGGAGTATGAAAGTATTCATATCCATTCAATTATCGCATACCTGAAGCAACTGGAGTATGAAAGTATTCATATCCATTCAATTATCGCATACCTGAAGCAACTGGAGTATGAAAGTAATCATATCCATTCAATTATCGCATACCTGAAGCAACTGGAATATGAAAGTATTTATATCCATTCAATTATCGTATACCTGAAGCAACTGGAGTATGAAAGTATTCATATCCATTCAATTATCGCATACCTGAAGCAACTGGAGTATGAAAGTATTCATGCTTATTTATACAGACCGATCACGTCACCTCAGTACACTAGATGTCAAGATACATGGTCATCAGATAAAGCATGACCAGACGTGACAACATGGACTGTAACGACGTGGTGTGGCTCCAAAATCGTTTTAATATAACGTAATCAATTTTAGGATTAACATCAAAGAGTTTCTCTGTGGCAAAAATGATATCAGTTAGACTTGCTACTTATCACAATGTTTAGTGCTAAGCATACCTGCAATGAACGACAAGGGGTCCTATTTTAGGGTATCGATCCATGTAGAGAAGAACAATTCGTCGGAATTCCAGCAAAGAAGCAGGGAAAGGAACTGTGTATGCTGGCCAACTTGTAAAGTGCATTTGAATAATCTCTCGTACCTCCTCGTTCTAAACGTGATTAAAACGAGAAGAAGAATATAGAAAAATTTACACGTAGTATAAAGTTAAGCCTACATTAAAAAGTTAAGCCTGTATACATAAAGAAAATCAGAACAGTAATGAGTGCTTCATTATCTGTAAAGAAGAGATATAGTTAAATTGTTTTCTCTTGGCAGCCATAATAACATTGTATATATATATATGTCTGTGTATGTATGTATGCACATATAAGTAATATTTCATTAGGAATACGTATATTCACGCTGTCTAGCAACCATGTTCTTCTTTCGTCTTAGGCCTAATCTTGGAGATCTAAAATGACTACTAAGTGGGCATGAATGTTTCCGACATTAGTAATATGGAATCAACAACAGTGTCTTTCACACGCTTAACGTAATCAATATTATGTAGCTGGAGAACAATTAACGTTTAGTAATGTATTTGTAGATTACAGACTGTCAGCTGTTATTAAGCCTACTTTTAATATATCTTGCATTAAGATGTTTGGAGGTGTTATGTTTAAATTTAAAAGTCAAAGTCGTCGAGACTGAAAACACTGCTGGCAAACATGTATTCAAATTTTCGTCACATCTAATGTAATAACTTTTAATTTAACTAAAATGTGTAAAATTAAATGATGTCTGCGTAATAAACTTCGTTCTAAAACTGCTCAAAACTAACTTTAAAACAATCGGTCTTTTAGGTTTAGTAGATTATATATTTTACATTATACTTATTACTAATTCTTTTG